TATCTATACTTTTTTGTTTTCTATATATTGGAATGATATTTAAGTAACATACCCGTAGCTTAATATCTCGAATCGATCGACTAAACTCTATGACAAAGAAATCAATTATTCCGGAGAATGGATTTATCAGGGGGTTAGAACAGCTAGCTACTCGAATTGCCAAAATGGGCTTCCCAGGGCAAAGTGGAACGAAGAGGTGCGAAACATTTTGCAGCTCGGGCCTCCGGTCGATGCTCAAGCTCGTGGTTCTTGTTTTGCTCGGCGTTAATTGATTATCGTTCGTATCCGAGCAGCGTACAACAAACCAACGAGGCCCCAGACCAAAAGCAAAGCATCGAAGGCCTTTCCAACCATCTAACCAGCCAGCTACCTAGCTTGCTAGCTAGGCATTCCACTTGGACTCCTTTCCCTACTTGAAAACCGTGCATTTAATTCATGAAGTGTACCTTTCCACAAGCCCTAGCCTACGTCCTTGCATAAATCTATAATAACCCATAGTTTACGGGGATTCCCGTTTTTTTTTCCTTTTTCTATTTTTTCTTCTTCAACTATATTTATATTTCTTTAATCATTCGCCGATCTATCCGGCACAAATTATCCAATAGTCATGAATTACATATTATCTCATTGCACGAATGAATTATTTTTCGCTCGTTATCGAACGACATTATCTAATACACTATAATCTAATTTATTATCAATTTTCCTCCTCATAGCTAATAGAATCTAACGAGTTTTTACTTAGACGACATAATATACGATTAAAATATTCTTAAATCGATGAACTCGTTTTCTAACGTATCTAAAGAAAATATCGAATTGTCTTTGGATATGTTTGTCATCTGATAATAAATATGGAAAATGTGTTATCGCGATAAGATTCACAACAACAACAACAAAATTGCTAATTTAATGAAAAGTAAAATGACGAGGTGGTAGTGTGGGTGGTATCAATCACCAAGACCCAAAGAGTCTCCACACTCTGGGTTCATTAAATTTTCTACCTGTTTCTAAACCGGCCAAAGTACAAACGAAACCGCCTGCCCTTTTCAACGTCTCGAACTCTCGTCACTCATTTTTCATACGTTTACATCACCGCTTTACCGCTCGGTTCTCAATGTCGGAATTAAGAAAGAGAAAAGATAAAAAAAAAAAGAGAAAAAATGACACGCGTAAAGGAAGAGAGAGAGAGAGAGAGAGAGGGAAAAGGGGAAAGAAAAAGAAAGATAGAGATACAGATAGCGAGAGAAAGAAAAAGAAATAAAGAGAAATCGTTCCTCTTTCCTGGACAACGTTCGATCGAGCCAGTTCTTTCCGCCCTTTATTCTTCTTCCTTCCCAAGTTTTCTTCCTCCGGCTAAAGGCACGAACACGGGGGAAACAAAAGACAAATTACACGAGACGGCCATCATGTGACCCTTCCCACCTGTCTATACACAACTTGCTCGAAGAATAAGAGGAAGAGGGGGAATGAAAGAACTCTGAGGGAGGACAGGTAGATTTCAGACTCTCTCTCTCTCTCTCTCTTTCTCTTTCTTTCTCTTTCTCTTTATTTCTCTCTTTGGTCGCGTGTGGACTACTTATTCCAGCACGCTTCATCGTCTGCTTTCCCTTTGCCGACGGTCATTATGCCTCAGCATTGATCCTTAAACATCGGAAGCAAAATGAAGTTTTCCTTGTATGAACCCTTCACCATGAGATAAATAAGATCAACGACGCTAGATCGTCCCATTTGTTCCGTCCTATGGAAAATCTTATTTCTTTCATAACGTGACATAATTATCTTCATATTTCTCTTTATCCTTCATTTGAAAGTTTTAAATAAATACTCATCTCGAATGTGTCACGTTTTTGTTATGTTTTATTTTGTTTTCGTTCCAAGAACACAATCGTAGCAAAAGTGTCTCTTCAATCGAGTATAAACTCAGTAAATATTTTCGTTTCGTGAAAGAAAAATATGGTGAGATACTGAAAGTAATACTTAAAGCAAAAGCCCGACTAGACTACTTTCGACGATGAGTGACGAACCGCACTGTGTTATTGCACGATTGTGATTTTAAGAAATTTTTATTTTCGATATTCAACCTAGCTTCTATTATTCTTGACATTTTCTATTCTAGTTTTATCCCCCCAAACTCTATTAATTCTTACAATATTAATTATAAAATGTAATAAAATTTTTCTGTCGAAAAAATATTGATAAACAAAAAATTAATTAAATCATAGAGAAATTTTTTAGCATAAATGCATATAATGAAATTCTTTGAATACGCTTAATAATTGGATATATGTTAAAAAATAAGAATGAAGTGACAACATTAAGAAATGCGAGCTCTATTTTGGTTAGACTTATCCATCGCACCTTGCACATGATCTTGTCACTCAACGATCTACGTGTCAACTATCACCTAGCTAGTGTATGTCATCTCTCAACCCTGTTCGCAGAAGAATACTAACTGATATTTTTGTTCTCTTTCGTTGAAAGACGAGCGGTGATTAAAAAGTAACAATTTCTTTTATAAATCTTGATTGACAACTGTCAATCGATTATATTATCGTTACAAAAATTGACAACTTGATTAAATTTTACGTAAAATAAAATAATACATTTATAAAAAATGCTCAACATAAATGTTACAATACAGTAACATAAATTATCACATACAATTCATATTCAATTATAATAAAATATCGTTTATTCATCAATGACTAAGTACAAAAAATTAGATCATTATCCAGAAATTAATGATAATTGAACAATTAGTATGAAATATATTATTTTTCGTATATGAAAACAAGTACGAATGGATAAGCAGCATAATTATTATATTGCACATGGTGTGTTGATCGCTTCGTTGGGAATAATTGAGCAAAGAACGGGAATGGAATTTAAGGGATTAAAGTCATGCCGATAGCAATTAGAATGCTAAACGAACATTAAAATTCCATGTATAGTAGTATTGGTTCCCAAGAGAGAAATTCAAAGCGTCCAACCATGATCGACCGATTTCATGTGTCTTTGCGCTATGGAAATGTTGATATGCATGTTTCTGTACATAGAAATACATAATGTGTATATTCGCACACATTTATATAGAAAATAGTGTATATGTATATATATCAGCCCTTAAAAATCGAAGAGTGTCAGATAACGGGAACGCAAAATGCATTCAATAGGCGTGGAATACTGGCTGATTGACAGGTCCGTCCAGCCAATCGCGAGACCGAAATGCTGATGAGGCCCACGTCAATCACGCTTTCATCTCTCTCTCTCTCCCTTTCTCTCTCTCTCTCTCTCTCTTTCTCCTTCTCTTCTATGTTTCTCTCAACCCTCGTTCAGTGGAAATACCACGTGCGAAGTTAGCCTCGTTCCACGAACGAACGAACCAACCAACCAACCACCCACTCACCCTTCCCTTTTTTTTTGTCCTTCCCTCCCTGACGTCTATCTTTCTTTCTCTCTTCTTTCCCATCTCACTCTCCTTTCTCTATTTTTCTCTCATTTTCTATTTTCTTTCTTTCTTTCTTTCTTTCTTCAACATCGTTCTCATTTCCGTCTCACTCTTTCTCTCTATTTTTATGTACACTCTTTCTTTTTCTATTTCTATATCGTCCGTCTCATTCTTTTTTTCCTTTCGTTATTTCTCTCGCTCACACAGTCACGAGCCCTTCTCATCCATGCTCGAGAACCCATCTCTACCTTCTCCAACTCCCGACAACTCTCATCCTACTTTGGAAGCACCCTTCGGGGCCACCCTTACATCCGCTTGGGGTGGTTCAGCATTTTGGAGGCCGCCGTTAGACAGCCCTTATACACAGAAAACGCTTCTGTAGACCTGCACCACGTATCGCACTTTTTTGTACACTCGATAGGACGGGCCAAAGCGTTGTAAAAAAAAAAGCATCTAACACCCTGCGTAGGAACAAGCTAACGAAGGGAGAGAGAGAGGAAGAAAGAGAGAGAAGAGTCCAGGTGTCGAATAATTACATGGCCATACATCAAAGTTTTTCTAACGGTACATAATATAGAAAAGTAATAGGAAAGTCTGATCTTTAGGAAAAGTATTCCAATTTACTTTTACAGTGACATAAATATATTTATAATCTATAACAATTGTATATTATAATTTAAAGTATGCCACATATATTTGTATGTTAAACAATAAATTACGCGAGACAATATTTATGTTATATGCACAAATTAGAATAAAATATTATACTTTTATTAGATCTGACTCACAGTGTGTCGCTAATACAGGACAGAAATTCATTCGTTTCGGTTAGGGAAACGATCGAATCCTAAATGGTAATGGCTACTCCGTAAATTCCGTAATTACGCTCTCGAGGACTATTAATAATTGTTGTGTGTCTCTCTTCTGGCGGAAATTAGCGTTACGTCATGCGATCTATCGAAGTACAAGTAATCGTGGGATACTTGGTGGCTACTTTCTATGGTCTGGCAAGTATCTTGAATACACTGGCCCCTTTTGCTCCTTGCTACTTTGCTTCTCTTATCCTTACCCTTCCTCTTCCTATTGGCGGAACACCCTAGCTAGAGCTTCCCCTTGTTATCACGAGACAAGTTTCTTGCCTGATAACAATTAGGAGGTGTTTCGCATCGACACGGAATACCGACGGTTGGGAACTTGCCCAAAAGTTTCTAAGGAGTCGAGAGACCCTCCCACTATGGCTACCACAGGTACATTGACACGAGAAGCTTACGCTCCTTCATTGTTGCGATGACGTACCTTCATCTCCCTCACGTACCCCTGATCATTAATTAGATAACTATTTATCTCTTTAAAGCTTCGATAAAAACTATGTGAATCACATCGTTCGTCTTATATTAGACGATATGAAGGGCGTAAGAAAAATTGCTAATCGTCTAGGAATAACGTTAAAATAATTATGCATTTTATTAAATAGGATCTTGTAAAAAAAATTCTATAGATAAATGAAACTTCAATTTTGTAACAGATATAATATTATATATTTGTTGAGTATAAAAATTATAATGAAAATGATTTGTGTTATTTTATTGTTGCAGAAAATGGTCTTCCAAGAAGATTGAGAACTGCATATACAAACACGCAATTGTTAGAATTGGAAAAAGAGTTTCACTTTAACAAATACCTCTGTCGACCACGACGAATTGAGATCGCAGCGTCGCTAGATTTGACGGAACGACAGGTAAGGATAATATTTGCCAACTGACATTAACTTCGATACAAAATGAATCGCTAAAAATATAAATGACTCTAAAAGATTTCTTAAATCAGCCTTTCATCTAAAGTGAAAAATATTTCAATCGAATGGAAACATATAACAGTGTTTGTGTTCGTAGGTAAAAGTATGGTTCCAAAATCGACGAATGAAACATAAACGACAGACATTGAGCAAAGAGGACGGCGACGAAAAGGATGGTTCGACGTCCGACGGCATGGAAAAGACGAAAAACGATAAGATTTTAAGTATCGATGCTGATGAGAAGAAAAGCTGTCACAACTGTGATATTTCTGGGGTCGGTGACGTCGGTAGTACTCTTCCAGGTGACGTAGCCGATCTGGCATCGTCTGGTCGACGGAGTAGCAACAGCAATAATAATAACACCAATAACAATAATAACAATACTCCGACTGCTACCAACAACAACAATAGTAATCCAGGATTCAATACGAACAGTAATGGTGCCAGTAGTGTCGGTAGTACGAATAGTGTTTCTAGTTCTCTAGAAAAAATGATGGCCGACGATGACTCAAGGTCGCAGGATGGCAGTGAAGTGACCTCGCCGAGCGTCCCGACGAAGAAACTTTCGAACAACGAAGTAAGGATCAAGGTCGAAAGTGGACACAAGAGTCCAAACGCATCGAAACAAATTTCTATAAGCAAAAAGTCACCGTCCGCAAATTCGAAAGAAATATGTTCAGTAAATAGTAACGGTGTTCTTCTTGCTATGCCTGATTCTACTGTCAGTACGCCGGTCTTGCCAGGTCAAAGTTCAGCGAGAAGCCTGACACCTTCCTCCACACCTGGAACACCAGCCTCCGTTCAGCTTCAACAAGGAAGTCCACTCAGTATGCAACAAACGCATACAGCATACATGCAAAGACCACGAAGTTCTCCGTCGTCAACAACTTCGGTGCCAGCTATAATGCACGGATCGGCGAATCCTGGTACTATGTCGCCTCACGCTGCCATAACCATGGCAACGAATCAAAATCATTTTCAACAACAAAACGTTTATCAATCAAATCTCGGTGTTGATTATAGAAACGGTGTTCCAACGAATAGACAAACTGTTCCTCCGGTTGTTCAACAAACTCAATCTCAGAACAGTTATTGTATCAGACAGAGATATCAACATACTAGAATTCCATATTCCAACGAAGTTCATCCGTATAGACAAAATCAGACAGTCGTCTCGCGGATGAGCCACGCGAGAGTGACCGGTCCTAGAAACGTCTACGGTTCGAACATGCAATTTCATCAACAACAAAACCAATATGGAAATACTGCCGACTATAATGGATATCCTCAAAGTGAAGCAACGTATCATGCATCGTATCATAGAAACATGCAAAGCGGAGGTGCTTACAATACCGCCCAAGGCTATTCCAATCCACAAGCCGAACAACCGACGGAAGGATATATGAATTCTGGAAATTATGGTTATACGAGCACAGGTTATCATCCCAATAGTGAAAATCTTGCATCTCACGGTCATACCAATGTGTCTACGCAAAGCGGACAACAACATTATTATAACGAAATTCCACATCAGCAACAACAGCAACAACAACAACAACAACAACAACAACCACAACCACAACCACAACAGCAACAACAACAGGCTGAAAGTTATGTCGCTCATCCGCCAACAATGCATTCCACTGCCAGTGATTACAGAACCAATAATAAATGTCACCCTAACACTTATTATGAACAAACCAATCAGATGCACGTTCATCAGGGTGGCGAGGCATCTAATATACCAAACAGTTATGTGTCCTCACCAGATCCATTCCCAGCACCCGGAATGACCACCACAGCGACTGCTATTGCAGCAGCAACCGCTGCTGTCATCACGCCACCCGGTAGCACGGGACAAGCCGACGGAAGTACGGATTATAACAATTACGGTAATTTTTACGGTGAACCCGTTCACACGACTGCACCACCACCGTCGGCCGACAACAGCAATAGCTCCTCAGACTTCAATTTTCTCAGCAATCTCGCCAATGACTTTGTACCAGAATATTATCAGCTCAGCTGAGTCCACGAGATCGAAAATCCGTGTCAGTTTGACTGGACCGATGAGCAGGGACTCCTCAATGTGTTATACTGACTACTTTGTGAATTTTAAACGTATCGTGGCGAAAATAAAGATATGTGCTGTGTTTATGATTAGGGTTGGTGATATATTAGTGATAAATATGAAGTTAACAAGAATAATAACAATTCTTCGTGATTTCATGAAGTTTCTCGACTATTTCTAAACCATCGGAATTGATTGATTACTTGATGAACGATTTTAAACTCGTAACATCTTGTTGACTTATTTTCAAACAGATCGTTCGAAACTCCTACTTTGGAATGTTGGTGTAATAAGAAAAACAAAAAAAAAATACGCGATTAATAGGGAAAATCATTTCGAGCGTATATAAGTATAATATCTTACAATTAGTACGGAAAAGAAGACAAAAAAAAAAGAAAAAGAAAAAAATTAAACGAAACGATGCAATTTAAAGTATAATTCGCGTTTATGATTGATCGTTAAAATGCACTGTTTAGGTTAAAATGTATTCACTATACGTGTTTATCGTCATGCACTGTTTAATGGATAAATCTAATCATTGCGTCCATGCAAAGAATTTGTTCTTAATACAGGGATTAATATGTTACGTTAATTCTGTTATTTATTATTAAGAAGAAAATGAAAAAGAAAAGTATGATGATGATGATGATTATGATTGATAAATGCAGCTTGTATATACGTAAATAGTAGAATACTATATGTTGTATTTTTAAGCGTTTCCAAATGAATCCTGGCCAATTTGTTCTTCGAAAATTTCTTTAAAAATTAGCTAATAGTTCAATGGCCAGTTATGAAAAAGATAAAAGAGTAGACAAAGTCATAGAGAAAATTGCAAACAACATATGATCTTAATTTTGAGTTAACAATTTCGTTAAAATTCTACGAGAAGCGTGTAAATAAAAACGAAATAATAATTATTACGAAAATAAATGAAAATAAAAATAAAAAAAAAAAAAGCCTAATCAATCACGAAATTGGAACTCTCGTGAATAAATCGTAGCGAGATTTGAAGAGTGCAATGTTTTTTATAAATATCTTTATGTAAATTGTATCATAATTGGGAGTTTTCAAAGTTAATCCTCTAACCATGAGAAATATTATGTAAAGATTTAATAAAATACTGAAGCATATATTGTAGAAATGATTAAAAAGATAATAGAATAAAATCAATACCAATGGAATAAATAATACATAAAAGCTTTTCTTTAAAACAAAGTTTTATCGAAATAGACCATTTCGAAGAGAGGATAAAGTCTAAGATTATTTAACACGTTCGCGAACGGCTACTGCATTTGCAATATTTTTGTTTTCTTCTGGTTAATCACCATCGTATACGTAACACATTACTTTTATTTAATCTACATTTGTTTAATTTTAAAAAAGCACTTCTAATGCCGGCATATGGAAAAATTTCATATACGGGAAAAAATTTATCAAAATGCTCTAATTTGATTTAATGCTAAAAACAATTAAAATCAAATACAAGCGCCCTACGCAAATTCAGATCATCCAACGTGTTAATATGAATTGCTTGTTATTATTAAAATAATCGGATAAAAAAAAATCCGCTTTTATATCTCCTAATTATGTTTTAAGTTATTTAATTTGATTTCCGTGTTATTCATACATATATTTCCAGTTATTCATACCTTTTTTTCATTCAAATTCTATGAAAAATTGTTTTTTTAATTTATTGTTTATTACAAACAAAACATATAAAACTCCGTGTGACATATTTGCAAGAAACTCTGTCTTGAAATATTTTTTATTTATTTTATTAATTTTGCAAATCGCTGAAAAGTCAATCACTCCCCAATAATGAAATAAAAAATACATCTAATTGATGTCAATTTTGTATTGAATTATCTCACGAGAGTGAACGAAAAATACTTGAATTTTTAATTAGTATTTTATTTGATGAATATTTTTTTATATATCTATTATATATTTTGTTCTAAATATGTGAATTAAGAACGAAATAAAAAAAAAAAAAAGAAAAACCCACACATACACATACACGTACATGCTGTAAATCAATAAGCAATAATTAATAATGCAAACATGTATATAATATTATAGAAAATAAGAGAAAGAGAGAGAGAGAAAGAGAGAGAGAAAGATTGAGAAATGACAATGAAATTTATGTGTATAAAGTATAGTGATTCTCTTCACGATCACGCTTATGCCAATACGTATACGCCGTCGGATGAGAGAATGAATGAACGAATAGGAAAAGAAAAAAGAATTAAAAAAAATAATATTACTAAAACGCGACAGCGATTAGAATTTCAATAAAAATTGACTGTATTTGTTTGATAGTACGTATAACATGAATCATCAAACACGTACCTAATTAATTATATGTTATTTTATTTTATACACGATTTCATTATCGAATCAACTATTCATTAAATTAATGTTAAAAAAAAAAAAAAAAAACGATATCAAGAAAAAGAAAGAAATAATGAAAACCATTATGCATTTGAGCTAAGATTTGCATACGCGCAATTATGTAATTTTTATGACAAAAAAAAAATAGAAAAGAAGAAAAGATTGTTCGGAAATGTAACAGAAAAAAAGGATTAGTTTGTTAATCCTGTTTTTCAAATTGTTTTTCGTCTTCGTCTACGATTATTAAATTATTATTATATATTTTGTTTATTTTTAAACACGTACACATAAATCTTAAACACGTTGGTTTCTTATTTGTCGAGTTTATTGTGCAAAAAAACGTTTTCAAAATCAACGCGATATTCTTGTCAGTATTATTTACAATCCAAACTATTCCTCGTCGTTTGTGAACGAATTGAGAAAAAAAAAACAAAAATTAATCGAAAAATAGATGAACATTTTTCTTACAGGATTGTAACATTGTATAACAAAAAGAACATTTGTTTAATTCTTTGACGCGTAAACAATGCACAAATTTTTAATTCAAGATGAGGTAATAATAATTAATGTTGCATGATAATTATTTGTTTTCTATTTATGTTTTTGTGTTTTTATTTAAAAATTTATTTGTGTTTTTAATATTTTTTTTTTATTTTCATCTAACGAAACAAACATTATTGTCTCCGAAATAAAATTATAACAAACAATTATTAATTATTATTTTTCTTCTTTTACTATAGAATAATAAAAAAAAGAAAAAGCATTTATATAATTTATATGTCAAATACTTTAAAGAGCTCATTGCATGTAAAGCGCGTATGGTAATCTTATATACATATATATTATTATATATTATATTCATAAATAATATATATAAGTATATAAATAATATATATACATATATATATTATTTATTTATTCTCCCAATTGTATAAAAAAAAAATGTCGCAGGTGATGCCTCAACACAGTAAAAAAAAAAAAAAATTATCACACGTGTACAGTCGCTCACTAACACACTTATCAAATACAAGCTCATAGCGAAACTTAAAATATTGATCCTACTTTATTTACTTATTGTTTTTAATATCATTATCACTCTTATAATCCTTTCCCTAAAAAATATAATAATTTAAAAAAAAAAAAAAAAGAAAAGAAAAACAAATTGGTTAGATTCGTTGTGGAATTAATGATAATTGTGTTACTTAGTATTATTTAAATGGAAAATAAAAAAAAGAAAAAGAAAATAAAATAAATGATTGAAAATGATAGGAAAAAAATGTAAAGCAACCGGAAGAAACGAATTTCATATCCAGGAGGAAAGCAAGCGTGATCCCGATGAAAGAACATCCCACTGAAAGGCCCCGAGGATCTGCGTGTGTGTAAGTCGAATTCGTACGTGAGACGAGGCACTAGTATGTTGGTAAGGAAAGTGACGATGATGGATGAGCCGAAATATCGGTGCAATCGAACCGAAATATTATTTTTAACGCGTCTCATATGCCGCGTTAGAATCTTTCCGCATGCGTACTGTCTCGTGCAATTCATTTTCACGATATAAAAATAATCTAAGGAAAAAACACAAAATATTTCTCCTCTTTTTGTTTCTTTTTTACAGATTAATCAACCAATAGTGTAACAACCCCAATAAGATTTAGAAAAAAAAAAAAAAGAACAAAAATTAATTGCGTAAATAAGAATAATAATAAAAATAAAGAAGATCAAAGAGAATTAATTTTGTTGTTCTTTGAAATATAAAAAATATAATAAGAAATGTGATTAATAAAATCTTGTAATCTTAAATTCGTATAATCATTTTGAATTGAAATAAATAAATAAATAAATAAAAAGAGAAAAAGAAAAATAAACAATCGAAGAGGAATATAAAAATCAGAACAAGTTGGATAACAAAAGTTAAATCGTACATGGATAACGTAAAAGTACATACGTAGTAGGTAGGTAAAGATACGTATACGCGGAGCTGGTTTGAAGGTAGGACGGAACGTCTGTGTCAGTGAAGAGACTGACAATGATGGATGACCACGCGTGATGCGTGTGAGTCAAGCCCATACGACGCCATAGGCTTCGAGCTCATATGTGGCCTTCCGTCCCGACGAACGCACCGTCCGAACTGTTGCTATCGTTGCATCTGTGCAGAGAAAGAGAAAGAGAAAGAGAAAGAGAGAGAACACCCCACCGAAACTCGAACCCCCTGATCACCCTCAAACGTCGCCCTCAAACGTCGCCCTCAAACCAAACCCTCAAACCAAACCCTCCGTGCCAACCTCCACCCTGCGCATCGGCTAATTTCTCGATGCTATTAACTTTTTCTCCTTTTTCCTATACCTACTCTGCTTTTGCCTGGAACGAAAAAAAAAAGAAAGAAAAAAAAAAAAAACAAAAAATATTAAAGAAAGAAGAAGACCGACTGAAATTCAACCTCTGTGACCTTTGTTCTTACAATTTTCTTGATCTTTCATTAAATGATTAATAGTATTATTGCAAGTGTTTTTTTTTTTCTTTTTTGAAATTTTATATTTGTTTCATATTTTTTTGATATGTCATTAAAT